TTTTGATGAAATTCGAAATGATTTTTTTATTGATTTTGTATTTTTAGTTGAATCATGAACCAGGTGTTTGGATTTTGCCTACTGTTTCGTCTTCTTCTTCATAACATCGATTTCTTCACAGCATCTACCTTCTCCTCCATCTCCATCGATCTTCATAGCTGGTAATCGATTTTGCCTACTGTTTCAATTGATAAATCGATTTTGCCTACTGTTTCGATTGATAAATCGATTTTGCCTACTGTTTGGATTGATAAATCGATTTTGCCTACTGTTTCTCAACACACTCGATTTTGCCTATTGTTTCGTCTGATATGTAGTTATGTACTTGAAATGTCACTAGGGGTAAATTGGTCATTTTAACCAGTTCGGTCATGTTCTGTCCTATCCTGTCATGTCTTACCAAACGTTGAACACCTGTCCTGTCCTGTTCTGTCCTGTCTGCGTACCAAACGTACCCTTAAGGGTGTTTGTTTTCAACTTAATAAGCTTAATGAACGGTTAGCTTAATTGATTAAGTTATATTAACCATGTTTGATTTTAATTTAATACTAAGAGATTGAATTAACATGTTAAATTAGTCCATCTTATCTTAATGCATTAAGTGAGAATGTTTTTCAAAATTACCCTTGTCTTGGAATTTTAACCCGTTCAAATAATAAATAGTTTACCAACATGCTTAATTTAAATAGTTATTTCATCAATTTAAATTGGTTTTTTAACCATTCTTTTTTCCGAGTTTACCCAAATGTCATTACGTCCGGTAATATACACATCTGCAATTTACCCAAATGTCACTACATCCGCAATTTTACGGACCTAGCTAAAAGACAAAAAAGATTCAAATTCCACTGGGTTAGCAAGAGACACCGTCGCAACTACATATCTGGGTTGAATCTGATTTTTTCTTTTAACCAGATCCGTAATATTACGAACACAGTAACATCCAGGTAAAACCGTAAAGAGAAACGACTTGCGTGAAGTTTTGAAAAAGAAATGGTGGACATAATATTTTATAATATTTATTTCGTTGTTTACGTACTTTGAAGTTGTAAATACTTGTAATATATTTGTGAAAATCGCAGAAAGTGTTCTTGAATTGTGTGCTTGTGTTTCCTTTTTACATTGTTATTTACGTACAAGTCAAGATATAAATACCCAAAAAAAAATTGTAATATTTTAAAGAGGGAAAATTGCATTAAAAAAATAATGTATTTTAACTTGATTCTTATTTTAAATAACTTATTTTTAAATTTTTTATTTTGGTATCCAAGATGTAAAGTTTTAAACATTTAAATACTTGAGTAACCGGTTGAAGTATTAACCGGTTACCATGCTGATGTGGCGAGTGATATGGTATTTAACTTAGTATTATTTGTTGACATGTATATCTTAATTTAAAATTAATGTTTATGTATTGTGGTTTATTAGACGAAAGAGTTAATGATTTAATCACTTACCCGGGTAATTAAATGTTTAAAGCTTTACATTTAGTTACCAAAATGGAAGTTTTTAAAGTACGTTACTCAAAATAGGAATCAAGTTAAAGTACGTTATTTTTTTTTATATACAATTTGCCCTTTTAAGAAATAGAGGTATAATGTAATTAATATTCCACCATTTAAAGATGGAATTCCAAAGCAGCGAGGAGAAGGGAAATGAAGAAGAAAGAAGAGACAGTTAGTATAGAATAGGTCGGCTTGCTTTGACCAAGACTCCGCTTTACGCTCCGTTACAATCAAGTAATCAATGGTCCAACGATTCAACATGATCTCTGCCAAACGGGTACAACACTGCCAAACGGGTACAACACTGAATGTAAATACATGAAACCGTAAAACCAATAAATTGAGTTGAAACCAATATACTCAGACTTGTACTTGGATTACATCGTAGGCAAAAAGCCAATTCTCAGTTTAGCATTTGTCCCATTTAAAATGGATATTTCTTACTTAATGAAACAATATCGTTTAGATAAGGAATTAGACCTGAATTATTGGAACACAATTCGAGTCTGGTCACTTACAGATTGATACCAAATGAGTATCACATGGTCTAGTTCTCGATTTTCATATGCTTAGTTTTCTAATTGCTGTTTGGTAGCGGTCTAAGGACGGGTGAGCATGATAAGAATCAAGAATTTTATCCAGTAAGTGAGAGAGAAGACTTTTATCTGATCAGTGCTTACCAAGCAAGAGATGCTTATTAACAATCCATTTTATAGCCAACGACAAGGTAAGTAAGAGTGATGACTCTATGCATTGGTAAACAATTCCTGGTTTTCCCTGCTCTACCAGCCTAGAATTTACTGGTCGGAAATTCTGATTCCACCATCAAAATCACAACGAAATAACTAACAATTCTTGGTTTATTTGATCAATCGTATATTCTTTTAAACATCTTTACAAAAATTCTAGACATTGAAAATAATTTATCGATATTATGTTTTATTGAAGCTGTTAGAGTACCACACCGACTAGACTTGAACAAATTCTCCTCTATATATGTTGAAAAGTAATCATAGGGTTCCACATATTCTCACATAAGTCATGTTCTTCAGACATAACAAAGTGTTTTTTAGTCTTTAAATTTAATAAAACATATAACACTGTTAACCATCAGTCATCGACTCATCATTTGTCAAATTAGCAAACAATCGATAGCATGTTTGTTTTTTATAACGCTTTGTAATAAGCAAAACCTCATTTTGATAAGCCAAAAATACACAAGATAAAGTATCAAACAGTATGAAAACATTAACGCAACAAAACGTTGCAAGAAACATCCCGACAATCTTTCTTTACTTTTAATCTTCTTTCCTAGAGCTCAGTTCGAAGAAACGAACTACGGAGGACAAACAGAAGGTGCAGGATTCGCGATAAAAGTCGGAGTTTCTTCTCCAGGCATTAATACAGAAACTTCTCTTGCATAAATATTGACCTGCACTCGTAACAAGCTTATAATCAGACCACCAATGCTCTGATTCGTTGTCGATGGCAACTCATTTTGCTAACAGTAAGAATAATGCTTTCTAAACTTGTACTACATGCATTTAAAGTTGTACTTTGTTCCGGATTTAAGAATCTAATCAAATACTTGATATTTCTAGATAATTTCTAAAGCTCACGTGACATCTTAGAAATTGTATTGTAAACAATCTAGAGACAAATTTTCAAAATACCAGAAGCGTATCCGAATTTGTAACAACCCGTTCCACAAGAATAAAAAGTAAACCTGTGAGCTCTTTATAAATTCAAAGTTACTGATTTGCCATTGACAGATCAGGGAAGGTTCATGACTTTTGACTTTAATCACTCATGTACAACCAAATTAATGCATAAGACGAAATCTTTACTTAGAATATCTAGAAGTATAATAATCAAGAAAAGACGAACAACATGAAGAAATTCGTCTTCTTGTTCCGTTAATCATGGGCATTTTTTATTTCCAAAAAGACCAACTTCATATACGTGTTCGTTCCATATTTTATGACGTTCCATATAAACTTTTTCATGTAAAATTACCTCACTACCCACCATTACCATCGTTCATTCAGGGTCCACAACGATCTCCAGAGTCTATCTTTTCGACGAACGTATATCCAATCAGACAAATAGTTCGTCTGTTATAATTCTGATAGATTTGTTTTATGTGGATATAACAAACAAAAAGTTGCATATTTTAAAGGTAAAAGAGGATTGGTTGCACTTTAAACTTTGGCTGAAAACCACATGGGGTTGGGAACAAACCATAATGGTTTTAGGGTACCAAGATTGAAGGATATTAAAAGTAGATAAAGTTGTATTTGGTTTGGTAATTGAAACTTAGACATCACCACATGTTTGTACCCAAGATTGGTGACCTCTTGGTCCTAACAAATCATCAAAAGCAAACATACACCATTATAATACTAATGTCTCCCTTACATTAAAGGGGATGTTTGGTTAGAAGTATTAAGCAGTAATCAATGGAAATGATAATAAAAGAAATTGTTTGGTTTTGTATAATATAATGGGTTCATTCCCCCATAAGTCTAAATTTTCATTCCTGATTGAACTGGGGGGAATGAAAAGTCATTCCCATTTTCATTCCCCAACCTAAACCAAAGAATCCCTGATACTGTACTAAATCAAACCAAGTTAAACTGATCTGATGAATCCTATCTGAAGTAAGGGTTGGATTGTGTTAATACTCTACTTAAATTGCTTGATACACCTTTTCTTTGTGTTTTCTATTAGTTGTCTTATTTTGATCATAGATATCACACAATCTGTTTCCACTTCGTTTCTTGAGAAAAAAACAGTCGATAATGACATCAGATAAGTATTACAAATAATTTATAGAAAAAACTATAACTAATTATAAAAATAATTGAATTACAGTTTTATTAATCGATTATTACAAAACAAATGTTTTTATCATTTTTAAAAACCTAATTGATACAATCCTACGAAATCCCATGAAATCCCAAGCACTCCATAAGGATTTCAAAATCTTATATTTGAAGGATTTCAAATCTGGACAATCCAACAAACCAAACATGATATTAAAATGGATTTGAAATGCAAATCCCCCCAAATCCATTCCATTCCTTCAAACCAAACTGGATCTAAAAATTGAATTATAAAACTTGTTGATTGATTGCTATGTGTTGTAATGGTTGAACTCCACCAAAATGAGCATGAAATTAAGGGAAATTTTGTCACATTTTCTCATCTACTTCCTATTTTTGTTTTGTTGTTTATTTATTTTGGGTAATTAGCATCAAATTAGGGATATGAAGGTAGTGGTCCACACAATAAAACTTGATCACATTCACAAAATAATCAAAATAATTTGTAACTGAACTTGTCATTTATAACAGATTTTCTTGATTTTTGTACAGAAATAAAAACTTTAAATGTCAAATTCGAATGTGATATGAGACTGATAATTTACAAAAGTACATCGATGTTAAACCTATGATTTGATTAAATAATATACCAACAAATCGACAAAAATATAGCAAGCTGAATATTAAAGCAGATAAAGAAAATACAGCAACTTGACGGGGCAACGTGTTTTATCTGCTATTTTCCTACCAGCTCGGGTATTTCTCTTTTACTTTTTCATAAATTTATCATATGTTTTTAAAACGAAATACAGTCACTCGATTAAATTCTCTTTACAGAAATCTCTCTCTTGTCCAATGTCATCTCCCTTTTTCCTCCCTTTGGACAAAATCATACGGCAAAATTCCCAAAATCTACTTTTTAATTCCACTAAGAGCAATTATTCATTCACTAAACAAAATTAAAGGGAAAAAAAATGGAAATAAAGCCATTATTCACTTAAACACAAACCCGCAATAAATATTTCCTAAAATACCCTTTTTATCAATAATCAAATAACTCGAACAATGATCGTTCTGACTCGGACAATGTCACTGTGTTTGTCCCGTTTCGTCATTGAATTAGAATTCGATTGGGAACTTTTACGATTTTGAATCGAATATCGTTCTGATTTAAATATTATATTGATAATTATTTAAATTAAATTAAATTATTATATTTGTTATTTGACCAAAAGTTGTTTTGGATTTGGAGAATTTAAAAAAAAACCCATTAATTTAATTGACATTTTTATTAAAAAAAAAACCCATTTTTATCGACATTTTGGATTTGGGAAAGAACTTTGTCCATTAAAAGGTCATCCCAACACTCATGCTTCGATCCTTTTTGCCCGTTGCGTGAAATTAAGGATTTGACATTTTTGCCCTTTCTAAACATAATATTATATTTTTATCCTAAGAAATAAAACGACAAATTGACTTGTACATTATGCATTAAAAGTTGTACTTCCTCCGTCACACAACAAGTGTTCACAATTGAAAATGAACACAGTTTTAGGGGCTGTTTGGCAATTGCTGAATGATTTGTTGCAGAATGATTAAGTGGTCAGAATGATTAAGAGGCTCTAATGATATAGTGCAAAATGAAATATAATTGTTTGGTAATTATTTAAAATGAAATTAGGATGCTGAATAGTTAAGGGAGACCTATAATACAAAATTACCTCTTAACGATTCAGATGTTGCCTCTTAATGAAGCTATTAAGAGGTAAACAAACAACTTTTTAGATTAGTCAAATGACAATTTTACCCTTATTTAATTTATTTCTCTTTACTACTTTTAAGTATTGGTACATTAACTAAGGGTATATTGGGAATTTAGTGATCTATTTTCGAATGTTGGATATTTATTTTGGGACAAACAAAGATTTAATTAAATTGTTGGATTTTTAAGCAAGCAATAAAAATGGAAAACTCTTGTAGTTTGGGAAAATAATTAGAGGGTAAATTGGTAATTTCAAGGTTAAAAAAGAAATAAAACGGGGAAATGTAAAGGTAACGTACTTTTGGAGATGGGTATTCTGGTTTTCCATGGGAAACCGTTTGTGAGTCGAGATCTCCATGATTACGGACACCGGTGGTGGTGGTGGCGACGGAGGAGGACGGTGACGGTGGCCGAAGAAACCTTTCGAAAAGAGCCATGGCAAGGAACATAGAAATGAGAATAGCAGTGGCGACAAGCCCAAACGACACCGCACTGACTGAGTTATCGAAATTCCTCCAATGTTCATCGTCTTCACCACCAACACCTCTACCTACCAGAGTACAACTAGTACTGCTGCTGGTACTACAACTGCTCAATGGAGCTACACTTGGCGGCGATGTTCTCATTCTCTTTCTCTCTCATCACCGCGCAGAAATTGAGAGAGATGTATGCAGAATAATCTCCAATTTGATCCAAGATTGATGAATTTTTGAGAGAGAAATAGGGTTTTTGAAGGTGTTTTAGGAGAGAAGAAAGAGGTTTTGCAAAGGAATTTCTTCAGGGTAAATAATCTTTTGCTCGTAGATCCACCAATTTTTAAGCCAAAGTGATATCACGAAAAGGGGGTTAAATGCACCAATGAGAATTGAACCATAAAATAAAGTAAAAAATGTTTTTTTTTAAACATATTTTAATATATATTTAGTGGGTATTGGATCAAATAATTGATTCAAGTTATTTGTTTGTTTTTCTATTAAGTCATGTATCAATAAACTTATCTGTATAGATTAAACTGTCAATTTAAATTGAGAAGATTGTTAAAACGAAGGTGTTTTCAATGGGTTAAATGCATGAAATAACAACCTACTTTCTTTCTTTATTAGAACAATGTACTTTCAAATTATTTTTTATTAAGACATTGTACTTTAAAAAATCTACCCATAATAGCAATGGGTAACTTGTTACCTTTTAAACCGGTTAACCCTTTAACTTTTTTGCTTGTGTGACTTTAATGAGGTGATGTGGACGCCACATCATTTTGATGACTTAACTAAAATTAAAATAAAAACTTATTTCAAATTATTATTAGTAATTTTCATTTTTCATTGCTATGATCTAAAAAAACATTTAATTTTTTTTACTTTTTCTTATTAAGTTGCATTCAAATTAAATATTCTTAGAATAAAATATTTATTAAATAAATATGAAACATTATTTCGAGATATATTTTGTTTGTAGAAAATGTAACTTTTCTTATTTTATGGTGTTCAAATAAATACATATCTTTTAAAGTTCTTTTTAAAATATTAACGAAATAAATTGTTATCTATATTTTTTTAATATTGTTATATTAATAAATAATTCAAAAAAGTCTAATTAATTTAATATATTTATACGTCAAGTAACAAGTTTTTGAACAAATATAATATATTGTTTAAAAGATAATATTTTTTGGTAAGAAAATGAAGAATTCTTATTTTCCTTTTTTCAAAAAACACATATTTTTTTTAAAAAATGTTAACGAGATATATTGTGTTCTACTAGTTTTATTGATATTGATATATTAATGAATAATTTAGAATTTTATAATTTATTTAATACATTTATTAAATAACATGTAAAATATCTAAATATTAAAATTAAAAATACAGTGTTTAATAAGAACTAGTAGATGTTATCATAAAATAATTTTGAAAGTACAATGATGTGGTAAGAAACTCATATCATTATAGTACATGTGGACAGCCTACGTGGACAATGAGGTGGCATGAAAACCTAGTATAATGGGTAAATTTAAATTAAAAGGTTATACAATGCTATAATGGGTAAATTTTTCAAAGTACAATGTTCTAATAAAAAATAGTTTGAAAGTACATTGCTGTAATAAGAAAAACTGAAAGTACAATGCTATAATAAAGAAATGGGAAAAGTACAATAAAAACCAATGAACTTTCTTGTTTGGAATGATTAAGTCCTTGAACTTTTTTTTGGAACAAATAAGTCCTTGAACATTCCAAAACATGTTAAATAAGTCATTGAACATTCCAAAACATGTTAAATAAGTCATTGGACAATTTTTTGGAACAAATAAGTTCTTGGACATTCCAAAATATGTTAAATAAGTCATTGGACATTCCAAAAAATGTTAAATAA